GCGTTCAGTTTGTCACCTAATGCTGAGATCGACTCAAAACCTTCCGCTATCGGCGTATTGCAGCCCTGCTCTAGTAAAGCACGAACAATAGAAACAATATGAAATGGGGGGAAAAGCTACTTATTAACTGATTAAGTTGTGTTTTAGATTGTTCTTGAAAAACCTTTCAATCACGGCTGATTAGTGGGTGAACTCACGGCTGCACAGTGAACCTGTTGATTTCTTTTACAGCAGACAGTCGCTCCTCTCTCTTGCAGGTACTGCGTACCCCCACTAAAACTTTTAGGGGTACGCAGTACCCTACCGTACCCCCTTACTTTCACCCCTGCTTGCAACTGAATATTATGTTTTCTACTCTGAAGCATCAAACCTGAGGGTCCAGGTCATGGCAGGGAAGGATGATGAGATACCCAAAGAGCTGCGAACTCGCCTTAAAGATCTGTATGAAAAGTGGATGATTCTAGAGAAGAAGACAAAAGAGCAAATAGGAGATGTCGTAGTGCTAAAGCAGTTTCTTAGAGTTCTCAGCCCAGACCTTTGAACCTGGGTAAAAGAGTGCAACCCCAGTTCAGCCTTTTCAGTGGTGAGTAAGTCGGGGGTTGGGAATGGACACACACTTAAATATCCCAACAAAATTCCCCAATCAGTAGCAATAGCTGTGTTAGGGAATTTAAACAAAGCAGCCCTTTGGTTTGTCATTCTTGTGGTCAAACTGGTCATTTTAAGGCTGATTGCCCAGGTCAGCAAGCCAGTAAGACTTACACATGGTTTTCACCAGTGTTTTGATTTGCTGCAGGAAGAATCTGAGTCTGTAGCACGTTCTAGTGATCAGGAGTGCACCATCTGTGTTTTTATTGAGGGAAAAACGTGTATCACCTTATTACATCCAGGAGATAGAAGCACCCTTGTTAGACAAAATTGTCCTGTGGTAAAGTTATAGCCTGGTGTGTTCATGGTGATGATGTTGGTTAACCTATTGCCAATGTTGTCCTTCAAGTTCATGAATCGGAGCATTTACTTACAGTTGGAGTGATGGATGAAGTTCCCTACCAGACTGTGTAGGGTCGGGGTATGCCAATTCTTGGGGACCTTTTAGCAAAGAGAAAGATTTACATATTTCATGTGAAGTTCTGCTAGCCGTCACTAGGTCTAGCTCTAGAAGGTCTCAGTCAGAGCCAGGTTTGAGTGAGTTACCTTTTGCTAATACTGAAATTCCTCGTGAGGAAATATTAAGAAGGCGGTGTTCAAGAACAAGCAGAATACAGCGGAGACAAGAGAGTAAGGGGGACGAAAATTCCTGACTTACCCTTCTGAACCAGAGATTGATGAGCTACTGTTGGTTCCAAGCGATATGGTCCAACTTCAAAAGCAGGATGCCTCTTTAGCATCTCTTTGTGTTAAGTGTTACCAAGAACCAACTCAGATTACAGAGAGAGTTTGGGAAGTATTCATTGTAAAGAATGAACACTGTATTGCTGTAGAAAAGTAGGTAATCAGTTAGTAGTTCCCATAAGCTTCACTGGCTTCCTGTAACTTATAGGATTCAGTATAAAATTGCACTTATCACCCATCACTGTCTACATGGAACCTCACCAGATTACCTGAAGGACCTCCTTACTTCACATTCAACTTCTAGACCCCTACGATCCCAATCCAGCAATCTTCTCCACCTTCCTTGATCAAGACTAAGGACTATGGGTGATCGAGCATTTGCTGTGGCTGCTCCTCGTCTTTGGAACTCTCTCCCAGACTATTTGAGAGCCCCGCAATCATTGTCCGATTTTAAAACTGGCTTGAAAACTTTCCTCTTTAGACAAGCCTTCTTCACTTTTATTTGACAGTCTTTTTTAATTGTTTTTGATTGTTGATTTTATGGTTTTAGATTAACCATGTCGCACTTTGAGATTTTTATTAATGAAAAGTGCATTATAAATTAAATGTATTATTATTATTATTATTATTATTATTATTATTATTATTATTATTATTATACGATAAGGCCAATAGTTTTACAATTGGCCCATTCACTTCCTTGAGTGGGTCATGTCAGATATGTGAAATCCTTCTCCAGAATATCAAATCGTTTCTTTTTTGCCTCGACAGTTTTCAGACACTGTCCAATTCAGTAAATCATGTCCACAGTGTCAGTTGACAGCTCTGAGTAGGAAAGGTGACAGAGCCCCACTTATTCCTATGCCTGTAATAGACATCACATTTTCTCATATTGCCATGGACATTGTTGGCCCACTGGAGAGGTAGCTTAGGACATAGATACATTTTAGTGGTGTGCAACTATGCAACAAGGTACCCTGAAGCTTTCCCATTGAGAAGAGTTACACCCCCCAAATAGCTGATACAGATGTTTTCAAGGGTGGGTATTCCCAGAGATCCTTACAGATCAAGGATCAAACTTTCCTTCCAATCTGTTAAAGGAAATTTACAAACTTTTGGACATCAGTGGGATCAAAACGAGTCCTTACCATCCACAAAGCGATGGACTTGTTGAAAGGTTTAACACAACCCTGAAGTCAATTTTGAAGAAGCTTGTAAAACACTTAGGAAAAGACTGGGTCCAGTGGCTACTGTTTCTGCTTTTTGTCTATAGAGAGGTACCTCATGCATCTACTGGGTTTTCTCCATTTCAACTCTTGTATGGTCATACTGTCAGGGACCCACTGGATGTCCTCAAAGAGGCCTGGGAGGAGGACAGACCTGAAAAAGTGTACATCATTCTCTTATGTGTTGAAAATGAGGAACAAGTCTCAACAGTTTCAGGAACTGGCCCATAGTCACCTAGTAGATGCCCATCAATGCCAAAAGCAGAAGTATGATAAAACAGCTTGCAGGAGAACCTTTAAGGAAGGACAAAAAGTGCTGCTTTCTTGCCCACTGCTGAAAAGATTCAGAAGAATTTTGTCATTGTCAGAAAGACAACGAAATTGCAGTTCCAGTACAACCATCCATTACACAACAACACAAGTGAGGGGGGAGAGGAATAGTTGGCTGAGGCCTCGCAGCCCAACAGGCACCGCCTTGCAGAGGGAAAAGGAAAAATAAGAAAAACATCAGGTAAGGAGAGGGAAAAAAACTGCCTGTTTCACACTCTGCTCTTTTCAGTGCAGAGCTTGAGATGAAGAAAAAAAACCTCGGCACATAAGTGTCATGATCCGTGTTTCTGTGTATTTATTTTTAAGGGTTTTCTGTGTTCAGTTTCTGTCCTGTGAGTCTCTGTTGTTCCCCGCTGATTGCTTCCCAGGTGTGTCTAGTTACCTGATTACCCTCCCTGTGTATTTAAACCCACCTGTTGCCTTTGTCTCTTGTCGGGTCCTTGTCTATGATAGTTCGTCTGCCAGCACAGTTAAACTGTTAAGTCCTGTGTCGGCATTAGCTCGTCGTGTCAGTCTTTGTTTAATTCAGTTGCTACTGGTGCTGAGCCTCTGTGTTTCCACTCTGCTGTGCTGCCCTGAGATCTGGACTGTTTTTGAGCTACGCTCTTCATTAAATTAATCATTTTCTTCTACAACCTGAGTCTCTGCGTCTCTCCTCACCACCACCAACCACTCCACATGACAATAAGCACATATAAACACATATAGACAAAACAAGCTGGGTAAGAGGAGGAGGTGTGACATGCATATGGGTCTCATGTGAGTTAGGTGTGTGTCAGACCATGAACCCCAACTGAAGCAAGTGATTTTTCATGATTGTCTGTGAGTATGATGTCGGAGTTCACCACCAACTTAATCAGTTCAGGGACAATGATGTTCCTGGGGGGGGGGGGGGGCTGTAAGGACGTCTTTTTAGTTAAAAAAACCCGGNTGAGCCAGGTGAAGCTAGAACTGCCCCTTTAGTTTGGGTATAATGTGTTTACAGATAAAGGGATTTGTTTGTACAGTTTTATCTTAGCTACTGCTCTGAGAATGATTTTTCAGCATACAGCCTTTTTTCAGTCTGTGTTCTCCAGTGACTTATTAGTCAATAAGTAAACATTTTTGACTATAGTTATGGTACTTGATTAATCACAGTTAATTGATTAATTGTTTCAGCCCTGGAGAAAAATTAGATTTTTCAGCATTTCAGGGGAAAATAGTCCAATTCCTGTTTTTGGCTGAAACATTTGGTTTCATGGAAGGTCTCAGAAAAAAAGTTTAATTTCAACCTAAGTTTACTCCACCAATTTGATAAAGATACTGAATGTAAATTCACTATTGATTAAAGAACTTCTAACAAGGCTGTGATCAATTACATTTCATTGATTCAACTATTTAATAGTTCTCAGAACAGACTTAATTTGTTCTTATTGGCATTTATATTGGTTATGACATTTTATTCAACTGCCCTCTATTTACCCATTTGTTTATCGTCACATTTGCTTTAGATGCATCATGATAGCTAATGATGCTGCTGGAGATAAGCTTTTCTGTTTCACCAGGCTGATTCTTTGCTTCTGCTGCCATCTAGAGGCTGCTAACGGCGCAGCACAAAACCTAAACTCTCCTTTTCTGACTGCTGCTGCGGGGGAAAGAAGGGGGGGAAATGGAAAACGTTTCTTTTGTTAGCTGAGTGTCTGCAGAGACCTTCATGTTGTGAAACACAGCCTAGTGGTTTGTTATTCTGGTTAGATAAATAAGTTTGCACTCCGAGCATATCCGTTTTTTATTTTTTGAGAAGAATCTTGAAACACACAGCATGAGAAGTCTGGAGAAAAGAAGACTCATTAGATGTGTAAAAGAAAATCATTGTTACCTCCTACACTTATCGCTGATGAAACAACCATAACTTCTCATCTGGCATTTTTATGGCTGCCATAGCAACCTTACCTCTTTTCATCTTAGCTGAAATCAGAATCAGTTTATTTATTTCGGTTTAAATAAGTATTTAAAACGTCGCCTTGTATTATTTGCTAATCCCCAATGACGAGAAGATCCACTAGGGGGCACAAATGCTCCGACGCTGACATTCAGCCAAAGTCACTTTTTGCAGCTCTTCTTCGCCCAACAGGCGGTCAGGGAAAGAGTTCAGACCTGTCCCTCTTCTTCGCTCTCTTCTTCCTGCTTCTCCTTTTTCTCCACCTCCTTCTCCTCTTCCTCCCACGGAGCTAGAAACACTGTCGGCAAACCGAACATCAGCGTTCAAACATATACTATGAATTAAAAGCAGCAGCTGAGGGGAGAAACGGGCTGTCACCGAGACATTTTAGCTTAATGGCGTTTTTTTAAATTAATTTATTTCTTATGGTGTCTCTGCTCTTTAGAAGAAGAAGAAAATCCAGCTATGAGTGACAGGAATGAGGAAGTGGGAAGGAGCGGTCATGTTATAATATGAGTTCATCATCGACAGCTAGGGCGGCTGCTGCTTGTTCATCTTTAATTTATCAGACCAGCTTCATTCTTGACTTGTTTTGAGCATCTGAAGCTAAGCTAAAACGAGGGTGTGTGTGTGTGTGTGTGTGTGAGGTAGGGGGATGAAGGTATCTGTTGCTAGGAGAGACACAGCCCACTCATACATGGGGGGTTAGGATATCTAGGTTATGCTAATGTAACCTCTTTCACCCATGGTCACACTTACTGTACATAGATAATGGTCAGGCCTGGCCGCTTGCTAAATAGGTGAATGCAAAGCCTGGAAGTGGACGGGTGTCCCGTGTGTGTGTGTGTGTGTGTGTGTGTGTGTGCGTGCGTGCGTGCGCACATGTGCTTATGTGTGTGTTGCTACCCCACCCAGTCCGTCTACAGATTAAGAGACCAAAAACATTCTACCAAAAAACTGGATGATAAAAGTTTCAGTGTAGTGTTTTGGTCTCAACTAAAAAACTATTAAAGTTTGCATCTGCAGCATTTGAAACATACCCAGTTCCAGCACGATTCATTGAGCCATAACCTACATTCATACAGTAACCTCCTCCCCCCCAGGCCTTTAACTCAACCATCCATCTGCTGCATCTTCTCCTTGGCTCTCTGCCCCACCGTGAATCCAGCCTTCTTGTCCCCAATCCATCCGTCCATCCGCGCAGACAGACCTTCTTCTCAGGCTGTGACCCACTGGGTTTTGTTTTTGGGATTTTGTAATAATCCAAGCCACACCCTGCATTAAAAGACCAAGTTTTGTCTGGATTGGTTTGCTGAAGGCCTCCATGTTCTTCCTGAATTTCCCACAAATGCCACTCAACAACACCAACAAAAACCCACTGTGGTGCTCTCCGCACGCCGTCCAGGCACTTTAAAAGGGCATGTAATGGATCTTTTCTGACACCTAAACAATAAATAACAATGTACATTTGAAAGGTGACCAACAGAAAAGAAAAAAAGAAGCTGTTGGGAGTCACAGACTTGTGCGTCCGCGATGCCTTTAATCAGCCCATAGAGTGTGCTTTTCTCTTCTTTTTCAGTCCCAATTACCATCTGTGACAGAGATGGATTTGGAGTTTGACACGTTGGCTTTCATGCGATGTCGCTGCCGCAGCGAGGACGCGTGTTTGTGACAGAGCCGGGAAAATAACAATGCAACATATGGGGCTTTATGACAGAGCTGTACGGATCCAAAATACTTTGACTTTATTGGAATGCGTCTTCCATGAAGATGAATCAGGAGGGCTGCAGCGTCTACAGAGCCCTGCTCTGAATCCTTCATAACCTTCAGAAACACTGCAGGAGTGTTTAAAAATGATAGTTGTTCAAACTGTGTCCCTTTTTAATGTCTTCCTATATAAAGCAAAGAGCTCAACAGTGTTTGGAGGAGAGACAGCTGCTTTGTTTTAATAAATTATCCAATGATTCTCTGGGGTCATTTGGAAACGACTCAGGAAATTTCAAGTTCTCCGTTTTAATTTCCTCAAGTGTTTCCTCCCATTATCGCTGAAATTAAGCTATAATCCATCATACAGTAAATTGAATAAATTGGTTTGGGGATTTATTTAGCAATTTACCTTATTTATGAGGTGATTGTGCCCTGTGGTAAGACCCATTTCTCATTTCAAAAATATTATGGTTCCCTAATTGATAAGATAAACAGGCCATTATTTGGTTCCTTTGCTGAACCTTGGCAACCAAATTGATTCCTCCCCTCCCTACTTCCTGTCATGTAACACTAATCCATGTTCTCATTGCTTCATGTAAGGCAACATTTTATCAGATGCTTCCAATTATGATGTGTACTCGAGGCTAAATAATTACATATGCTGAAGACACACAGACTCGCACTCTGCCTTGCAAAGCTACTTTCCACAGACAGAGTTTTCACAGCATAAGCTAGTGCAGAACTGTGTGGTGAAGAAAAATGAAACAATTCAAGATTATTTTGGCAAATCAAAATCAGAGGCATTTATTTGTATTCTGCCCCATTAACTGTGGTACCCTCAAATAAATACACAATCAATGAATTTTAGAAGATCAATAATTCATCTGTGTGTCACCTGGAGTTTATTTGTGTAAAATATCCTACAATGACCCAGTATGAAGCAAGAATGAACATTTTGTCAAATGCAATTATCAAAATCATCAAGCAAATATATATATTTTGATTGATGTTCCAGTTATTTGGTGCCAAATGCAGCTCTAAGCAGGTTAGTCTTTAGCTTTGATTTAAAGGAACTCAGTGTTCCAGCAGTTTTGCAGTTTTTTGAAGTTTGTCCCAGATTAATGGTGCATAGAAATTGATTATTTATTCTCCATATACAGCTGCAACTTTTCAATCCAAAGAGCCATTTTTGCTCTCAGTTCAGATAATTATCCTGTTTTGAGCCACAAATGTTACAACCTTTCAATAAAAGATGTTATTAGTAAATTTGCTGTCATTTTTTGAAGAACTACAAATTTACTTCTATTTTTACTTTAATTCAAATAATAAAAGAAAAAAACTTCATTGATCCCAAAGAGAAATTAAATGAATAGCTCTATTCAAAACCTATAATCAAATTTTTGCTCTAAGGAATAGCTCCTAAAATGAGCTCGGCAGTTCCACCAACTGTTTGCTAATTGCTGCTGGCTAGTCTGAAGGAGCTGAGTGGGGGAGGAGCTGTTCTGTGAGGTGTAAGCTTGGAAACTGCAGCTTTTAGGAGGAGCTGTGTTTTGAAGACAGAGCTAAGTCCATCCAGGCGTTTTGCACAGCTGAATGGTTGCCATGGAGATTAAAGGATTTCTTAAACATGCATGAAATAATCAAAGTAACACCGCAGGTTTGCTTTTGATGAGGAAATAACATCATAACACAATGTCAAGCTAAAACCACTTTATTTTATATAATGGTCCTTTAAGACTTCATCCAACTGGCTAAATATGAATCAAGGTGGTGGTAGACTCGCGCTGTGTGGATGGTTTTATTCCATAAAGACAGACAAGCTGAATTGAGCTAAATGCAGAAAAATTCTTGAAGAAAACCCTGTTAGACTGAACATACCGGGGTATGTTCAGGGAATTTGAAATGTTTTTCTAAGAATGAAAAAATATGTTTCTGTCTAAAGGGGTAAAAATGGTGGACACAAATCCATAAAACCTGCAGCCATATTTGCAGCTGAAAGTGGTTCTATAAGGGGAAAAAAAATGCACACATGGTTTTCACAACTGCGTATCATTTATTATCCCACTACACTAATATGCATTACTTTCTGCTGGTCAAGGCACCTTTGCAAGGTGTAACTGAAAAGGTGTAAAAGGGAATGCTGGAGAGCAGCATGGAAATCCATTAAGGACTAGGAGGATGGGAGAGTTGGAAGCTGCAGTTGGGAGAATGACTAGGAATGCTGGAATCAGGATGGAACAGGAGGATCAAACTATGCTGAGGTAAATTGACCTAATTGGCACTTTCGGCCATCTTGTCACAAACCTGCTTAACTGGCATTTCGAGAGAGCAGCGGAATACATCAGCAGCTTCTGGAAGTACTGGGAGTCCGTCTTTTCAGAGACACAAACCAGAGAGATGGAGCCAGCTCATCAGCAAACAGCATTAAACATTTACGCTGACCTACAAATGCTGACAGCGCCTCCTTCAGTCACACCCTCGGCCTCTCGCCTGTTGTCTTTTTTATATTACCTCCTCCACTGTCTGCACTGAACGGTGAACTCAGACTCTGTTTTCCTGGGCTGATAATGAGGAAAAACCCAGAGGAATTCAAAGTACGGCTGCAAAATGAGGGACGTGTGATGATGCTGTTAAAGATAAAGCGGAGCGGCGCTCTTCAGTCAGACTGTGTACTTCTGTTAAATAAGTGGGAAGCCCTTATGGTTGTCTTGATTTGAGAAAAAGAAAAGAAAGTGAATCAACCCACATCTGTAGTTCTGCTGCTTTTCTCTTTGCAAAGCTGCAGAAAAATCATCTCATTAGTTTCTTTAGTTTTGTAACGTAAAGATCTTGATGTTTTTCACTTAATGAGGCTTCCCATTCACCAGAGTGTCGTTTCTGTTTTATATTTGTCCAAACAACAAATACCTGTAATTTCAGGGTTTCTCATTCTACAACAGCATTATTTTGTCATACCTTGTTATTGCTTCGTTGAAATGCTTGTTTGCTGGTTTTGAAAGACTATTTTTACCAAGAAGCTCTTTTTTTTAATGTAAACACCCAGTCTCACTAAAGCTCCGAGTACGTACAATGGAGAAAATATATCAATACTTTCTGGCACCTTGCTTAAGTGTTTCTACTTCTTTGTATTTTCATATTTTCTGACTTCGTAACAACCAACTTCAATGCATTTTATTGGTATTTTATGTGATGGACCAACACAAAGTGAGCCATAATGGGGAAGTAGAAGAAAAATGAAACATGATTTTCAGAACTTTTTACAAATAAAAGTCCGAAAAGTGCAGCACACTTTTAGATTCAGACAACACACTCTCCAAAAATAAAACGGAGTACAGCTGTGGGTATTTTAATTTGCTGGTGTTTACTTTGACAGTGCATTTTAGCTTTAATCATAGACATTTAACTAAAATGTCATTTAATGAGTTTATGACAATATAATCATCATTTTTATTTTTGCCTGGTTTGAATCGACTAAAAAAATTAAGCCATGGAGGAATTCCTGAACTTTGGAGTTGTCTCACATCGGCCCAAAAAAATCAAAGCTCTGCACCTCGTGGTATCATTCAGTTTATTTCTCATTGGTCCAATTGGATTTTATCTGGGTTGCATTGTTACCTTGCAGCAATTAGACTTGGACTTAAACTTTATTATGATATTTTGTGGTTCCATTGTGATAATGATAAAACTGAACTATTTATTAGATATTTTTAGGTAACTGTATGACTGTGTGTCACAGTAATTAAAGCCCCTCAAACTCTTGAAAAACACTCCCATTGAACAAATGGGAAATAATAAAAAGAAAATAATAAAACTATAAATCCTGACAATAAGCACAGTTTGGGGGATTTTAAACATCATTAAAAGGAATTTATGATGTCAACAATGAGTCAAAATTCATATTTTGATAAGAAATTTATCACAATAAATGATGAATGATACAGTAAATGCCCACCTGTAGTTCTGGGTTTGAATCTGATCTGGGTCTTTTCTGCTGGGAGGTAGTTTTCTCTAGTTTCTCCAGAACCGGGTGGAGCACCGGGTGATTCTGGGGAAATCCCAGTGGGCCAGCCTGACGTTTGGGTCACAATGTTGGTTCTATCTTCTTTTTTTAAATTATTATTATTATGTACATTACTCTCACTGTCCCTTGGGCTGCATCCGCCTTAATCGTGTTGAAAAGCTGTACGTGTTGTAATGACAGTGATCACTAGGTGGCGCGGCTGTTACTTGAACACTTTTGGTGTGCTGCCAGTAGATAAATTAGATTACTCATTGAGTAAATATAGTCAAAATTAACATAATGAAGACAATGATGGAGCCCTGACTCCGACTTCGCCCACTACAAATACAACCAAAACAAACGTGTTAGCCTAGCGCTAGCAGGAGAAATGGGTCCTGGTCCTTACCCCCAAAAAAAGAGAGAAATCCTCTAACCGCTAAAATCTAACACTCTGTTTTTATTTACATTTTGTGAAGAAGGAAGTTGCGCTCATGTTTTCTTCTGACGTTTTCTTGCGCCCCCACAGGCAAAGAGGGAAACAGGTTTTTCAGTTAGTTTGGATCGTTTGACTCAGTGCAGTGTGAAAAAGAACCACAGCAGCTGAAATGTAACAAATGTTGCAGTTTTGGTCCCCAATTGAACCGAGTCTACTGGACTATCTGGTGTGAAAACTCCCTCCCTCAAAATTCTACAGCCAAATACCATTTTATGACATTGTGGAAAAATACATGTTTTGGAAAATTATTACAAATAGGAAACCAAGAAATCACATTTATGTAAGTTTTCAGAGCCTTTGTTGATCCACAGTTGTGGAAGTGTGTTAATGGTAGCATGGATGATGCTAAGTACAGGGCTAAGTGCAAGTGAAGCCAAATGCATACCACATTCATATCTTCATTTCATAAAAATTTACTAATGTAGTTTTTCCTTTCACTTCCAAATGATGGACCACTTCATGTTGGTCTGTCACAGTAAAGACTGCACATATTTGTGTTTTATTATTTCAAGGAACTAGATAATTCCAGTATAGTTTTCATGATTAACCACAGATGTCTTTTTACAGCCGCAGCGCACTCCGCCGTGGAAATGGCTTGGTCAGGGATGAAGGGAAGAAAAACAGCGAAAGGTTAAAAAGAGGAAATGATGGTCGCTTTTGGTCACCGTCTCCCTCTCTCCCACTCTGTCTCTTTCTCTCTCTATCGGCATTCAGTAATAGATGTGATGGAAATTGATTTCCAGGTGAATTATTTTGTGTTCCCTCAGTTTGAGAGAGCTCGTAATTCTTCCTCCCTCTAATTTAGATTGTCCTCTGCTGTTCATCTTCTAGGAAGGACTGCTTTAATTGTCTATTTCAATATTCTAGACAGTTTCAGTGACTCTCTTCACCTCAAGCCTTCCCTGTCCGACTTGAGCACTACCTTACCTGTCACGTAGCAGACAGCTGATTTTCTGATCGATACAATGGAGTGCAAAGAGAGGAATAAACATAGGATTGCAGAGAGGGTGAAAACAAATCAGCATTTTAAAGCGTTGGTCACCAAATCATTTCTTCTTCCTCACCCCGCCAGCAGTCTCAACTCTTCTCCCTGCTAATCATTGCATTGTTAATCTCCAGTCAAGTCCTATCCTGGTAGATGATTGTAAACCAGATTTTTGTGAGTGTCAGAAGGAAAAGTGGCAGGAGAAATTACTTGTTTGCTCGGCACACTCAGGAGGCTTCATCACCAGAATCAGATTCTGTTTCCTGATCAGTCCTCAGGGGTCATTTTCCTTCTTTCTTCCTTCCTTTCAAGCCAAAGCAGCAGATAAAGGGGCTGCAGTGTGGCGTATTGACAAAGGAGGAGGAAGAGGTGCTTGATGAGTCCATATTATTGAGCTGGGGATATGGGACAGAGCTGAGATAAACCCTGGCGAGTAGATGATCAAGCTCACTCCAAGTTACGTCTTGCATCATCAGCTGTTTGGTTTTGGGAGCTAAATCAAGCTTTGAGCCAAGGTTGGATTTCTGTGCCCTTCAGGCTCTGATAAATTGGAGTTTCATAAAGCTGCTACAGATGGCCATGACCCATAATGCTTGTTAGTTTGTGATCAAAAAGAAACCAGACTAGAACCAGCAGTTTTAGAGCTCTCTATTTTTTTTCTTTTATCTTCAGTTTCACACACTTCAGTTCAGTTTACAGCATATCATGTCAGTCAAAACAAGAAGAGGGAGAATCTCCTTATTCTTCTTTTTTTGTTTTTAATGGCGGTTGGCAAGCAACTT